ACAACAGATTAGAGAATCACACGTAACATGTTATAATGACAAACATATAAGAGCTGTAGACCAGGACTGAGGCCGTAGACCCAGGACTGAGGCCGTAGACCCAGGACTGAAGCCGTAGACCCAGGACTGAGGCTGTAGATCCAGGACTGAGGCCGTAGACCCGGGACTGAGGCCGTAGACCCGGGACTGAGGCCGTAGACCCAGGACTGAGGCTGTAGACCCAGGACTGAGGCCGTAGACCCAGGACTGAGGCCGTAGACCCAGGACTGAGGCTGTAGACCCAGGACTGAGGCTGTAGACCCAGGACTGAGGCTGTAGACCCAGGACTGAGGCTGTAGACCCAGGACTGAGGCTGTAGACCCAGGACTGAGGCCGTAGACCCAGGACTGAGGCTGTAGACCCAGGACTGAGGCTGTAGACCCAGGACCGAGGCTGTAGACCCAGGACTGAAAGGCAAGGCAAGTTTATTTATATACCACAATTCATACACAAGGCAACACAAAGTGCTGAACAAAATAAGAAATCATTAAAATCATAAATAATCACAGAACATTAAAAAAAAAGATAAAAATATAAAATCCCTCAGTTGTAGCACAGCTAAACAGAACGGTCTTTAACCTGGTTTTAAACATTGTCAGAGAGGAGGCCTGTCTCACATCTTCAGGAAGACTGTTCCAGATTTTAGCATGAATCTGAAACTCTGCCTCCCCATGGTTAGTCCTGACTCTGGGACCAGCAGGAGTCCAGTCCCTGTGCTCCTCAGAGTCCCAGCAGGAGTCCAGTCCCTGTGCTCCTCAGAGTCCCAGCAGGAGGCCAGTCCCTGTGCTCCTCAGAGTCCCAGCAGGAGTCCAGTCCCTGTGCTCTTCAGAGTCCCAGCAGGAGGCCAGTCCCTGTGCTCCTCAGAGTCCGGGCTGGTTCATATGGTACTAACATGTCACTAATATATTTTGGTGAGAGGCCATGGAGAGACTTGTAACAAGCAGAGCTGTTTTAAAGTCTATTCTCTGAGCCACAAGAAGCCAGTGCAGAGACCTGAGGACTGGACTAATGTGGTCGTACTTCCTGGTTCTAGTCAGGACTAATGTGGTCGTACTTCCTGGTTCTAGTCAGGACTAATGTGGTCGTACTTCCTGGTTCTAGTCAGGACTAATGTGGTCGTACTTCCTGGTTCTAGTCAGGACTAATGTGGTCGTACTTCCTGGTTCTAGTCAGGACTAATGTGGTCGTACTTCCTGGTTCTAGTCAGGACTAATGTGGTCGTACTTCCTGGTTCTAGTCAGGACTAATGTGGTCGTACTTCCTGGTTCTAGTCAGGACTAATGTGGTCGTACTTCCTGGTTCTAGTCAGGACTAATGTGGTCGTACTTCCTGGTTCTAGTCAGGACTAATGTGGTCGTACTTCCTGGTTCTAGTCAGGACTAATGTGGTCGTACTTCCTGGTTCTAGTCAGGACTAATGTGGTCGTACTTCCTGGTTCTAGTCAGGACTAATGTGGTCGTACTTCCTGGTTCTAGTCAGGACTAATGTGGTCGTACTTCCTGGTTCTAGTCAGGACTAATGTGGTCGTACTTCCTGGTTCTAGTCAGGACTAATGTGGTGGTACTTCCTGGTTCTAGTCAGGACTAATGTGGTGGTACTTCCTGGTTCTAGTCAGGACTAATGTGGTCGTACTTCCTGGTTCTAGTCAGGACTAATGTGGTCGTACTTCCTGGTTCTAGTCAGGACTAATGTGGTCGTACTTCCTGGTTCTAGTCAGGACTAATGTGGTGGTACTTCCTGGTTCTAGTCAGGACTAATGTGGTCGTACTTCCTGGTTCTAGTCAGGACTCGAGCTGCTGCATTTTGAATGTACTGCAGCTGTTTTACAGCCTGTTTGGACAGACCTGTGAGCAGGCCATTGCAGTAGTCTAACCTACTGGAGACAAATGCATGGATAAGAATCTCCAGGTCTGACTGAAGCTGTAGACCCAGGACTAAGGCTGTAGACCCAGGACTAAGGCTGTAGATCCAGGACTGAGGCTGTAGATCCAGGACTAAGGCTGTAGACCCAGGACTGAGGCTGTAGACCCAGGACTGAGGCTGTAGACCCAGGACTGAGGCTGTAGACCCAGGACTGAGGCTGTAGACCCAGGACTGAGGCTGTAGACCCAGGACTGAGGCTGTAGACCCAGGACTGAGGCTGTAGACCCCAGGACTGAGGCTGTAGACCCAGGACTGAGGCTGTAGACCTCAGTCCTGGACCAGAACAAATAAAAAATATACCGATTATTATTGTCTCCAGGTTTTTAAACATTTCAGACGAGGCTCAAAGGCTCAAAGGCTCAGATCTGAAATTACAACTCGGAAAAAACTAAATATTCTTCATAACGTTTTCGGTCCAAAGGCTCAGAGTCTATTTCCTGTTTTTGACAATGCTTTATAAATAACATTACATTTCTACTGTTTTGACTTTACATTTTTAAACATAACAAAAGACTTATATAATATCAGTATAAGTCTGTACGTGTGTGTCTGTGTGTGTGTGTGTGGGTCTGTCTCTGTATGTTTGTGTGTGTGTGTGTGTCTGTGTCTGTGTGTGTGTGTCTGTCTCTGTATGTTTGTGTGTGTGTGTGTGTGTATGTGTGTGCGCGTGTGTCTGTGTGTGTGTGTGTATGTGTGTCTGTGTGTGTGTGTATATGTGTGTGTGTCTGTATGTGTGTGTGTGTGGGTGTGTGTGTGTGTGTATGTGTGTGTGTGTATGTGTGTCTGTGTGTGCGTGTACGTGTGTGTGTGTGTGTGCATGAGGTGGACGGCCATTGCTCAGATTCCCAGCCTCTGTCAGTCCGCCCCGGGGCAGCTGTGGCTACGGCAGTGTCCAAAAAGAGCCGTCTATAAAACACATAATCCTGGCTCGTTCCTAAATCTGGAGAAACTGAAAAACAGAATCAGGCTGAAAAATTGCTCGATAATAAAATCTACACAAACATAATATTCTACAAACATCACATGTGGAATAAAAACACAGCTTTTCTCCTTATTGTGCGTCCGTTTATCTCCGTTCGTCCATTTTCGTCTTATACATGTATTTCTCTGACTTTGTACAAAACTTAAAAAGACAATATTCAAAAGTAAATTGTTAAATACAGACGTCACATACAGCCGCGGTCTCTCTCCCCAAGGTTTCTCACTTTCTCCCTCAGTGTTTCTAGCAGTAGTAGTAGCAGTAGCAGTAGAAGTTGCAGCAGTAGTGGTAGTAGTAGCAGTAGTAGCTATAGCAGTAGCAGTAGCAGTAGTAGTAGTAGTAGTAGCAGTAGTAGTAGTAGCAGTAGTAGTAGGAGCAGCAGTAGTAGTAGTAGTAGCAGTAGTAGTAGTAGCAGTAGTAGTAGGAGCAGCAGTAGTAGTAGCAGCAGTAGTAGTAGTAGTAGTAGCAGTAGCAGCTTATGTATTTCCATATATTCACATTCCTGGTTGGTCTCTTGATGGTCCATCGCTCTGTGTCTGTGTTATTTCTGGTGTGATTTTCTGATCTGCTGTAGTGTAATCGGCAGCTGTGTAAACGTGCTGCTGCAGCTGTGCTTTAGGACGAGACCCAAACGAAGGGATTTGAACTGATGTCTGCTGCAGCGCTCAGAGAAATATCGTGACATATAAATGTCTCTGTTTCTGGCTTTAATGAGCTGCGATCGTAAACATGTGTTTTTCTAAACGTCACTTTAAGATTCTCAGAGTTTTGTTGTCGGGTCAAAACTTTTCAAATTAATATGATCCGAAGCTGCTCTCTCTCACAAAACAGAAAAAGAGAGAAACTGATCCGTCCCCGAGGTCTCTCTCTGGTCTCTCTCTGGTCTCTCTCTCTGGTCTCTCTCTGGTCTCTCTCTGGCCTCTCTCTGGTCTCTCTCTCTGGTCTCTCTCTGGTCTCTCTCTGGTCTCTCTCTGGTCTCTCTCTGGTCTCTCTCTGGTCTCTCTCTCTGGTCTCTCTCTGGTCTCTCTCTGGTCTCTCTCTGGTCTCTCTCTGGTCTCTCTCTCTGGTCTCTCTCTGGTCTCTCTCTGGCCTCTCTCTGGTCTCTCTCTCTGGTCTCTCTCTGGTCTCTCTCTGGTCTCTCTCTGGTTTCTCTCTGGTCTCTCTCTGGTCTCTCTCTGGTCTCTCTCTCTGGTCTCTCTCTGGTCTCTCTCTGGTCTCTCTCTGGTCTCTCTCTGGTCTCTCTCGGGTCTCTCTCGGGTCTCTCGCTGGTCTCTCTCTGGTCTCTGTCTGGTCTCTCTCTGGTCTCTCTCTGGTCTCTCTCTCTGGTCTCTCTCTGGTCTCTCTCTGGTCTCTCTCTCTGGTCTCTCTCTGGTCTCTCTCTGGTCTCTCTCTGGTCTCTCTCTGGTCTCTCTCTCTGGTCTCTCTCTGGTCTCTCTCTCTGGTCTCTCTCTGGTCTCTCTCTGGTCTCTCTCTGGTCTCTCTCTGGTCTCTCTCTGGTCTCTCTCTGGTCTCTCTCGGGTCTCTCTCGGGTCTCTCGCTGGTCTCTCTCTGGTCTCTCTCTGGTCTCTCTCTGGTCTCTCTCTGGTCTCTCTCTGGTCTCTCTCGGGTCTCTCTCGGGTCTCTCGCTGGTCTCTCTCTGGTCTCTGTCTGGTCTCTCTCTGGTCTCTCTCTGGTCTCTCTCTCTGGTCTCTCTCTGGTCTCTCTCTCTGGTCTCTCTCTGGTCTCTCTCTGGTCTCTCTCTGGTCTCTCTCTGGTCTCTCTCTGGTCTCTCTCTGGTCTCTCTCGGGTCTCTCTCGGGGTCTCTCGCTGGTCTCTCTCTGGTCTCTCTCTGGTCTCTCTCTGGTCTCTCTCTGGTCTCTCTCTGGTCTCTCTCTGGTCTCTCTCGGGTCTCTCTCGGGTCTCTCGCTGGTCTCTCTCTGGTCTCTGTCTGGTCTCTCTCTGGTCTCTCTCTGGTCTCTCTCTCTGGTCTCTCTCTGGTCTCTCTCTCTGGTCTCTCTCGGGTGTGACATTATCTATCTTCATACTCCATGTTTGTGTTTGAACCCGCCTATCCCCCCAG